TCGTTTCTCTAATAATAAGTATAAGTGGATTTTTTTTATTTTTTAAACAATATAACAGTTATATATACAATTTCAAGCGATCTTGTGAATTTAAAGAAAAAAAAAAAAAAAATAAAATAATTCAATTTACATAAATGTATTAATAATTTGATCATGTAAATTCTTTCATTTTAATTCAGAATCAGACGAATATAAATCAAATACAATGTTATATTATTTATATTTGGTACGGGTTTTGTATGATTCAACTACATCGCGAATAATTTTTAATTATGAAAGTATTTTTTTTTTTTTGTGTAAAAAAAACCACCTTAGGAATTTTACACAAAGGAAGAACGAACGAAGTTGAATCAAGTCATACGCTTAAAGATTATCATTATTTTTAATTAGTATGTGTGAAATATATAAAAATATAATAAAAAAGAGAAGGGTAATAATAATAATTATAATATATAGGGGCGCAGAAATTAAATTGGTGCCTTTTATTAAAAAAAAAACTAAATTTTTAATATCTATTCATGTCACCGAATGAATTTCTACACGATAAAACATATAAAAGATAATATTAATGAGATACTGTTATAAGATAAAGATTATTTCGAGATTTATTAGATGTACTTTATTTCTTTTCTTTTATTTTTGTATTGTTTATAAAAAAAAGAAAAAGCAAAAAAATCAAATGATCCGTGGATCACACACACATTGGATATCAAATTATAATAATTCATCGGCATGAATCGCTTGAACGTGTGCTGTTAACAAAAGAGAATTAACGAATTTAGTGTTGCAATAGTTGCAAATGACCTTATCACCATTAGCCTTGCAATAATGTTTCTCATGTCTTCTAAGACTGTCCAATCTTGAAAAACTTTTACTACATTGTTCGCAAATAACATACGTATTGTTCTTTGTAGTTTTCTTACGTAGATCCTTTTTATGCGTTGTATCATTGTAATCAATAGTTTGAACCATTTGAACCATTTGAAGAAAGCTATGGGGTATACCATAATCCTCCTCTTGTTTGATTATCCATCCAGCCATACCCATTTGATTATGATGTTCAATACCTGCGAATCATGAAGAAAATTGTTAATCATACTAATGAAATTTTAATCGATTCGATCTGAAAAAAAAAAAACTTTCCACACAATTTTCCCCTTCTTTTATTTTTTTTTATTTATTTATTTTGTTTTCTTCACATATATAAAATTAACATTCTTAACTAACGAACCATGCAATTATTTTCCTAATTCGATAATAGATTTTTTTAATTTTTTTCTTCTTCTTTAATTAATTTTGGAAATATATGTCAAATATTGTCCGCAAAAACAATTGCTTTTTTTTTTTTTTCTTTCATTTTAATTTCAATCGTACACGCGTGGGTGGTGGTGATGGTGAAGGATGGGGATTGAAGTGTTTTTGGTTACTATTTTTATTTCCCCTTTCCCCCCTTCCCCCTCATATAATTTTTCCAAACTATTGGAAAAGATTAGTTGAACAAATTTGTCGATTCATCTTTTTTACAGATAACGACAAGACGATTATCTTTCAAAAAGAATTTCATCTACGTTTTAATTGGGATTATTATTATTATTATTATTATTATTATTATTATTATTATTATTATTATTATTATTATTATCATTATTATTATTATTATTATCATTATTATTATTATTGATAGAACGTACGTCCAATATTAATTATCCAGGATACAGATTGTTAAAAAACATGAATGATTATAATGAAAATATTTGGATCGATTATTATGATTTAATGAGATTGGCCTGGTTAAAAATCAAATCTATCGAACACCTACGCATTTCACAAATGTAATACAACTTTATTTCGTTATAATTGAAAATATTAATACAATTTAATAAACAATTATAGTATTGTAATTTTTATTTTATTGTCTAGTAAACAAATCATACAAATGTAAATCAATATTAATTGATTGCGATATTACACCTCCTTGGTCGTGATTTATTTTTTTTTGTTTTTGTTTCTTTATTTCGTTTTTTTTTTTTAACAATGAGAAAGAAAAATAAAAATAAATAGAATCGAATGAAAGAAAGAAGAGTATAGTATCGATATTGTTCTATTAAATATACGATTGATGGACGCATATATGCGCTTAATGTAAGAATATCAAAATTATGAGCGGTATAGATGCGTCCAAATAAATCGAAGAAGTGAAAATTTGAAGAAAAATGTACTAACTCGACTTAATTCTAATATTAAGATTGTTAATGCAAATCAGACGATAAGATTATAACATTGATTATTTGGTTATAGCAATAAGTAGATATATTGAAACGAGTATGTTCAAAGCAATGTTCATTTGCAAGACGTTTGAAAGAAATTAATTTAAATATAATCTAAAAAAAATAATTACAACGAGAATATAATATAATAAGTATAATATAATAACCCTTTACGATATAAAAAGCGTATAATAATTTTCCCCCTACCCCTGTAACAAAACCAAAAAAAAATGAAAACATACTGGAACTAGCCTAAAATCGAATGAAATACGTTCGCGGTTTCGATCGCGTAGACAGTAATTTTTAATAACACGTGTGGGTGTGCGCGTGTTTCAATTTTTTCTATTCGGAGTTGCATTAAGTTACCTCAAAAGGAATTGTGTTTGGTCTTGATATGATTTTTGAGTACGTAATGTCTATAAAAATTTTTCGAACATATTTTGCAACGATACTTGGGTCTTCTTTCGCATTCGTATGTTTGATGTCTCATTAAATTGCCCATCCATTTGTATCCCTTTCCGCATTCCCCGCACAAAAAGTGTTGAACATCCAATTGCGTATTTTCATAGCGTTGTTGATTGACCGTAGATAAATTGATTGACGAAGTTGACAAATTGTTGATATCCAATTTGAATTCTTCCTCGTACAATGGATCCATTTTGATGGCCGGCATGTATTCTAAAATATTGAAACAATGTTAGTCAATTATTTTTATTTCACAATCATTTTTATTTACGTGTTTTTTTTTTTTTTTTTTTTTTTTTTTTTTTTTGTTCTACGATAAATCACAAAAATCCGACGATTCTATTTTGTCGTTTAAAAAGATACTTAACTAGATACAAAATAAGAGAAAAAAAAGAAAGAGACAAATATTTATTATATTATGTGACACAATTATAAATATATATATTTAATTAATTATTTTTCGGGGTAATAAATTGTTTTACCTGTTGGCTCCTCGGCCTGTTTGTTTGTTTTCTTGTTGTGTGTGTTTGTTTATTATAAATAAATAAATAAAAAAAATAATATATATATATAATAAATACGTGTAGAAATTAATTCGGTGCCATAAATAAATATTATATTCGTTTTAAAAAGATACCAAATTAATTTCTACATAATATATACATATATATATAATGCACCCCACAATTCAAGAACAAAACAATTCAATTCAATTTATGATATAACATTACAAGAAAAAGAATAAAAAGAGAAATAGAAAGAGAAATAGATAAAGAGAGATAGATAGATACATAGGAAAAGAGATACAAAAAAATACAAGAGACAATTTTTATTGAAATTATAAAGCAGGGAAGACGATAGACGAAACAATGAGGGTAGGGGTTGGGAGTGAGGATTTTATCGTATTTACATTAAGATCCATTTATTCACATTAGTATACATAAAACGTTATGAGTATACAAAGCATGACAGTGTGTGTTCGCTGATCGGGAGAGAAAAAGAGAGAGAAAGAAATAGGTTGGACAAAATAATAATTAAAAACATGTGAATCAATTGCATTCATACAAAATTTTCTTCCTTATGTTGTTGTTTTTTTTTCTCGTTATATTGTTTATATTTTTATATTTCACTTATATCGCATTAATTTCTTTTCTTTTTCGAACGCGTATACTTTTTGTTTACAAACATAATTAATCGCAGTTAAAAAATAAGATCGAGACAAATTCGATGTAGGTTTCTTTTTATTTGATTAATTTCCTCGAACGCATATATGCGTCCATATCGTAGTGTTTTAAAAATTCTGTAAAAAAAAAAACTTTCTATTCAGAGGGTTTTTTTATCATAGTTTTCTTTTCTACTTCGAGCGATTGGTCGAAGTGGTCGTTCTTTTTTTTGTTTTTTTTTTTGTTTTTTTATAGATACAAAACTTGCTAGTTGCACTTGGTCAAAAATAAAAACGAATTGTTCATTATTCGCTCGGATTAATTTACTTTTTTTTAAAATCTTAAAACGACGCTGGATCTTTCTTTTTAATTATCCCACAGCAATTTGTTTGTAAAACAAAAAACAAATATACGCAGGATAAAAAGAAAAATTGTTATAATAATAGTAATAGTAATAGTAATAGTAATATTAATAATAATAGTAATAAAAATCGAAATGTGAAATCGTCAATTTGTTTAACATTAACACAACCGACTACAAATATTTTTTACTATCGATGTGATCTCTCGTTAGAGTTACATTAATTATAAAATATTTCGAAGTCGTACGATTATTTGTTTTATTTACATACATTTGGATAGGGGAGGGGGCGGTAAGGAGTGATGTGGAAGAAAGGGGGGGGGGATTTAGGAGATTAAAAAATGGGGGAGAGTAAGAAAATATTAGAACTGAAAATAAAAATACTATCGTTTCAGTATTAATGCGCGTGAAATATACAAATGATGCACACGATTGTGAACAAATAAAAAACAAAAGAAATCAAATATTAATCGTTATTATTATTATTATTATTATTATTATTATTATTATTATTATTATTATTATTATTATTAACTAGCGTTAGGAATTCGAAAGCTCATTACCGCAAATATTAAATTTTTTCCATCAATATTCTTATAGTATCTGCGCAACAAAATCCTATCTATTCACCATTTTGTTCGTCGTACAAATTAATTTTTATATATTTACGAATTAAATTCTTGTGTGTTTGACCACAAAGTTATAAGAACAAAAAATTAATCTTAACGATGAATAGTAATATTAATAATAATAATAAAAAAGGAAAAAAAAGAAGAAGTAGAAGTAGAAGAAGAAGAATAAGAAGAGTAAGGAGATGGTATAAAGGGAAATGAATCTCGTTTAAAAATATATAAAATAATAATAATAATAATAATGATATCTATATATAGAGACGCGCGTGTACAATAATTAATTAAGAATTGTCCCGATCTTCGGGCAAATACGGTGACTCGCTTCTCTTTTGTATAATATGATTTAATCTTCTTTGACATCCAACTATGTGGGAATTTAACACGAATCTATGTTTGAATCTTCTATCGCAAATAGGACAAACCTCGCAAGGTACAACACCGCATTCTAATCTTCTATGACGACTCAACGATGTCAATGCTTTATAGGTTTTGCCGCACCTGTTGCACACGTATTTGTTTTCGGGTCCGTTGTTTTTCGTAGAAGTCGTAGTATCCTTTTTTCTTTGTGATCTCATCGCTCTATAGGATACACCCGCATAACCAATACCACCACCACCACCACTACGTGACCATGAAACGTTATTCCTTTCTTGATAATGTTGTTGAACATCCGTTGAAAGTAACATACTCGCTAACACACCTGCAAAAAAACAAACGGACAATGATCCGACGTTAGTAATATTTAAAAACTTTTTCCTTTTTTCTTTTTCTTATTTTTATTTTTTTTTTTTTTTTTATAGTGTATTTAGTTTTCATCTTTATATAACAATTATCATTCCCCCTTCTTTTTTTCGATTAGAATATTTACTAAACCCCATCCATCCCTCTCTCTCCTTCCCGTTCCCCTTTTATTTACTTTTTTCTTTTTTACTTTAGTTTCATTTTCCCCCCACCCACCCCTACAACGCTGCGTCGTTAATTGCCGTTTTTTGTTTCTTTTAGGAAATAATAATAACTGCGAAGCGAGGAAAAGAGAGAGAAAGAGTGTGTAAGAAAGAGAATGAGAGAGAAAGAGAGAGAGAGAGACAGATAGATTCCTGTTTTATTATTATTTCTTTTTTCGAACACATTAATCGAACAATTTTGTCGTATTATTTGTTTCGCGTTTCAAAAATGATATCTTCAATAAATTTTTGTTTCCTTTTGAGAGGTGGGAGAAAAAGGGGGTGGTGAATCTTAGGATGAATTGTTGAATAAATTATGTAGGAATTGTAAGAGTGTGAAATTGTGAGATAGAAAGATATAGAAAGTGAGCGAAAGTGATCTAGTAGCAGGCAAGCATAGTAATTATTTGCATTTTCTCTTCTTGCATTTTGTTATTTCTTTTTTCTTTTCTTTCTTTTTTTTTTTTTCTTTCTTTCTTTCTTCCTATTTTCTCAAAGTGCAATTGCAATGTTGGTTATTGTTACAAAATGTATTTCTTCTTATTATTGTACGCTTATTATTATGCACATTTGTTTTATTATTTGAAATATTAATTGGTTCTTTTTTTTTCTTTTTTCTTTTTTTTTTTTCTTTTTTGAAAGAGAAAGTAAGAGAGAAACAAATTAATATTTTTATATGTGCATATAGAGGTATGTGTATTAAATATATATGTGTATGTGTATGTGTGTGTATATATATATATATTTGTTTTTAAATTCTAATAAACGTACACTAAGATATATATATTTTTATATTTAAGGTGGATACCCATAAGTATTAAGGAATATTTTTGGGCACTTTGTTGATCACGTGACTGCCAACCAATATCGATTATACATTTCACAATCAACGTTGTATTCAATTATTGGACACTTCAATCAATAATATTATCAAACACCATAATAGACTTCACTATAAATTGTTCACAATTAAAATCATTATCATCGTTGGAGATACATCACTCTTTTCTTTAAGTATTTTTTCGTTATATTTTCATTTATATTTAATAATAATAAGAGTTTACATAGACAAATTTTTTTCTTCTTCGGTGCACACAGTGGGAGTTTCGGGGTAGGGGGAAGAAGAGGGTGGAAAGGGGGGACTTGGTTCGCGTGTTACTGTGAAATTTATTCACGTAATATTTTCTTTCTTTTTTATCCTGAAAAATGGAAAAGCGAAAAAAGTTTCGTACGAAATAAGACAAAGTGGACATGTTCTGTATGTGGGTTTTTTTGTGTAAGAGAAAGATAAAGAGAGAGAGAGAGAGAGAGAAAGAGAGAGAGAGAGAGAGAGAGAGAGAGAGAGAGAGAGAGACAGAAAGAACGAAGAAAAATTGATTGAAACTATTAATGACGAGAAAAGAAAAAAATGATATTTTGTATATCATTGTGATACCGAATAATATATATA